GTCCTCAGCGGGCGCTTCATGTACGGACCCCTGGATGTGGTGACACTGACTGGGGAGAAGGTATTGCTGGGCTCAGGGGACCACCAGGACCCCTCAAACAGGGTGGGGTGTCCAGGACCGGGCATGGGGCTGGTGTCACCCACAGTAGGGGGAAGGATGTGGTTAACAGGACCCTGTATGGGATGGCAGGAGAAGTTTATAAGGACCTGTGTGGGGATGCAGCAGGATGTAGGGGTCCAGCCTGTGACCAGCCTGTTTTCCTCTCTCAGGTGGACATCTACATCATGACACAGCCACTGTCAGGGAAGTGGCTGTACTATGGCACCGAGGTGACGAGTGGCAGCGGGCGCGTGACCTTCACCATCCCTCCAGACAAGGCTCTGGCCATCGGGATCTACCCTGTGCGCATGGTGGTCAGGTGAGGCGTTGCCTCAGTTTCTCCTCCAGCCCTTTTGGCAGAGCTACACCTGCTGTTCTGGCAGCAGAGCTGGTGCTGAGCCACCACCTACCTCTGCCTTTGCAGAGGGGACCACAGCTACGCCGAGGCGTACCTGACCGTGGTGGCCCGTGGCACCGAGTCCGTTGTGTTTAGCATTGATGGCTCCTTCACTGCCAGCGTCTCCATCATGGGCAGTGACCCCAAAGTGCGGGCGGGGGCTGTGGATGTTGTAAGGTGGGTGCCCTTCAGTCAGGGAGTCGGTCTCCCCATCTTTAATGGAGTGACAGCTCAGTTGGGGGGTGTCAGAGTGGGGACAAGGGGGAGGGTATTCCATCACTTCCTTGCTTCCAGCACATCATCTCTATGCTGGTGCCCTATTGTGGAAAATAATCCTCTCCAAGTCTGGATGTGGTCTCCAGAGCTCTGCTGTGCCTTCTCCTTGATAAAATCCCTGGGAGCAGGGAGGTTTTGGAGGCAGCACCCACACATGCTGTATTGGGAGATCCCAGCTTCCCATAGCAGGACTGTCTCCACACAGGCTCCTGGCAGCCACCCATCTCCCCTCCTAGGCACTGGCAGGACTCAGGGTACATGATCATCTACGTGACGGGGCGCCCCGACATGCAGAAGCACCGTGTGGTGGCCTGGCTCTCCCAGCACAACTTCCCCCACGGTGCCGTCTCCTTCTGCGACGGGCTCACCCACGACCCCCTGCGCCAGAAAGCCGCCTTCCTGCAGAGCCTGCGCACCGAGGTGGGCATGGGGATGCTGCCAGGACACAGGGCTGGTGCTGGGTGTGGGCTGTGCTGAATCCTGTGCACCTCTGCATCCTGGAGATGCTGGGAGCTGGATTGCATTGCCATGGCAGAGCGGGAAGCTTCTCAGGGCAGCTCCCAGCCATCCCTCTTAACATGAGGGTGTCCAAGCTCTTAGGGGTAGCTGTCCCTGTGGGAAGGGTTGTTCCTTGCCCTTAATGCTCTTGTCCCTGGGCAGGCAGAGATCTCCATAGTTGCTGGCTATGGCTCCACCAAGGATGTGTCGGTCTACAGCTCACTGGGACTCGCGCCAGCACACATCTACATTGTGGGACGGGCTGTCAAGAAGTTCCACAACCAGTGCCAGGTATGCTGGTGGCAGGGTTGGGGACAGACGGGGGATGCAGGGGATGATGGCTGACCCCCCCAGCTGGCTGTGGCCACTGGCTCAGGCTGTCTGTGTGTCCTGCAGTTCCTCTCTGAGGGTTATGTTGCCCACCTGGCCCAGTTGGAAGCCGCAGCCCTGGCTCACTCCCCCAAGGGCCCCCCACGACCTGTGCTGGGCAAAGGCACCTATGGCTGCCCGGCGCCTGTGGACTTCCTGCGGAAGCAGAGCCAGCTCCTGCGCTCCCGGGGCTCCAGCCAGGCAGAGCGGGATGGGGGGCCCCCCTCAGCACCCCCTGGCTTTTCCCGGACCAAGCCACGCAGCATCAGCCTCAAGCTGGAGGGTGAGGAGTGAGGGTGGCATGGCCATGTCCCCCTTCTGCCACATCCCTGATTTCCCAGCAAGGAGCACCTGGGGACAGAGCTAGTGCTGGGCCATGAGGCCATTGCAAGGAGATGAGGGTGCTGGGTCCCCTGAGACCAGGGGGTGCTGGGAGAAGGCTCAGAGCCCCCCAGAGGACCAGAGTGATACCCTCCGGGCAGAACCACCCTGGGTCCTCCCTGCTGCCCCCAGCCCCACCCCCTCTGGTCCTTTGGGGCTGTTGGGCAGTGCCCAGTGGGGTCTGCACCCCAGGGTCATTATCCCTGTGCAGAACTGGGGGCTGTGGCTGTACCCCAGAGTGAGTGGCACCTCCCCACCTATTTATTTCCATCTGGTGTCATGGCACAGGGCTGGGTTGGGGTTCCAGAGTGGTTCCTCTGTTCCCTTTTGTTTCGGTGTTGAATAAAGAGATGTTATGACAAGGTGCCAGCACCCATGAGTCTGCTCTGTGCCTGTGGCCGCAGGGTTCCCACCCACTGGGAAAGCCCCGGGGAGCCTCCAGGGACACCACGTCCCACAGGGAGATGGCTGTGGGGCACAGCAGTTGGGTCACAAGCAATTCAGGACAGGGAAAAGAGCCTGGGGTGTGTGGGCTGTGCCGGTGCTGATACTCTCCCCCTCTCCAACTTGGTTTCCCTTCATTTTACCTCTAGCAGTAAATTTTTGTAGTGACCAGGGGGTGTGACTGGTTTTACTTGAGTTTATCTTGGCGTAGCATGATCAGAGATTTATAGAGATAGCAGGAACAAGCTGTTACTCTATATAAAATATTCCCGACACTGACATGACAAGAGGAGACACTGGTTTGGGATGATAGCAGCAGCCTGGATAAGTGACAATGGTGTGGCACGGAGAACAGGCATGAACGGGTTGGAGCTGGGGCCGAGGCTCAGTGCCGCCCCTCCATGGCCACCATAAAGTATAAAAACATCAAATAAGTGATAAAAGTTGGCAGGAAGCAGCAGGCTCTTGTCACCCATGCGTCCCTGGCGTGACGATGAGCCCCGGCTGTGTCCCCAGGCCGTGGCGAGCTCCGGGGCCATTTCCACTGACTTCAAATAAGTAAAATCTGTATTAAACATTAATAAACATCCATGACCATTCCACATGTGGAATATCTAAAAGAACCTGTCCCGAGAGCACTGGGCTCTCCCTTGCAGCCACGGACTCTACTGGGAGAAGATGCCCTTGAAGCGGATCTTGTCTTCGGCGTCCTTCTCCCGCAGCCGCGCTTCCAGGCTCCGCAGCTCCTTGGAGACCACGGGGCGCAGCGAGGGGTCGAGTGCCAGGACTTTGGCGAAGTCAGCCTGCGCCTCGGCCACGTTCCACACGGCCGCGTGGGCCTTGCCCCGCTTGAAGTAGGCCTTGACGTTGTCTGTGGGGAGAGAGCCAGGGTGAGCGGAGCACGGGGGTGTCCTGGTGCCCTGCACAGCCACCTGGGATGGCTCGTGGCTCCTTACCCTCGTACTTGTTGAGGATGGAGGAGCAGTGGTCCAGCACCTCGTAGTACTCCTCACACTGCAGCTTGCACTGGCAGTAGTTTAAGAGCAGGGGTGTGATCTTCTGGTCGAGCTCGATCCAGTCTGGAGAGCCTGGCTGCTCCTGTGGCAGACAGAGCAGGGAGAGTGAGGGACAGCTCTCAAGCCCTGCATTCCTGAGGATGCCTGTGTGGATCTGGGGAGACCCACCTTCATCTGCAGGTTCTTGAGACAGGCGATGGCATCGTAGTATTTGGCAGCTGCCTCAGACACCTTGCCCTGCCGGTACAGCTCATTGCCTTCCTTATGGATCTGGGGCACAGCCTGGAGCTTCTCCTCATCTGTCATGGCCCATGGGTCCTGCTGGTAGGAGCCGGGTGGCTCCACCTGCCAGCACCCCATCATGGAATCAGAGAACAGGATCATGGAATCGTTTAGGTTGGAGAAGACCTCTAGAGTCATGGAGTCCTGCACTGCCAGGGCCACTACTAAACCACATCCCACATGCCACATTTGTGTGTTTTCTGGACACTTCCACCCCGAGCTCCCCATGCCGGCACCTCACCTTCAGCACCTCGATGTCAAAGATGAGGGGCTGGGGGTTCTTCTGGAGCTCGTCGAGGTCGGGGTACCCCAGGGAGTAGTGCTCGTGCATCTGGGCGATGCTGCAGCAGTGCCGCTGCCCCTCCAGCGGGTCCTTCCCTGCTGCGATGTTCCGCAGGCTCTTGGACACTAGCGGGTAAAGCACCACGTGCTGCGGGAGGGAAGGGAGCCGGAATTTGAGGTGGGCGGGGGGAAAATTTTAGGACGCTCTAGCCTCGAACCCCGCGCCCACGACATAAAGTCACCGCCCACCCGCACAGGCCACGCCCCCGGACACCAGACCACGCCCCCGGCGGGTCCCGGTCCCGCCCACCTTGGCGTCGCAGCGGAAGCGCGCGCGCTCGCCGGGCCGCATGGTTCGCAGCGCCGCTTCCCACACCGGCAGCTTGAACTTTTTCCCGGCGATGAGCTCCATGGGCTTCCCCCGCGCCCTGCTGTCGTCCACCGGCGTCTCCTCATCGCCGCACCGCAGCGTCCGGTAGTGGAAAGTGGCCTGAAGGAGCAGGAGGAGCCCGCGGCGTCACCATGGCGACGCAGGCGGGGGAGGGGGTGGGGAGGACGCGCATGCGCGCCTTCCCCGCCGCGTTCCGCTTCCCACATCCCCCCACCCCGCCCGTCCCCCCGCAGACCTGACCTTGGTGCCGTCGCGGAAGTCTGGCAGCGGCCCGGTGCCCTCCCGCAGCACCTCCTTGTCCACGCCGTCCGCCCGCAGCTGTTCGACTTGCTGCGCCATCGCGCCCGCTCCGCCCGCGCCGCCAGCCCTGGCTCGGCCGCCTCCGCCGCCGCTCGGTTCTTTCCTGACAGTCGCGGCTGCGCGGGGCTCCCCCTGCTGGCCCGGGGGTGGCGCTGCGGGGCGGGGGCCCCGGGAATGGGGCGTGGTCATATGGGAGGGGGCGTGGCCAGCAGAGGCAGCAGCGCGCCCCGTTCCCACGTGGTTCTCCTGGTTTCCCGTCTCCCCCCACCCTGCTGGGGTGTCATTCCAGGAGACACGGGGGGTGTTCCGGAATGAAACCTCCTCTGACACTTTGCCACCTACGTGGAAAGGCCGCGGTGTAGAATGGGAGGTTGATAATGTCGCCGAGAGGCACTATGCGGGTTCCCGCCCACCGCAGGGAGAGCGTAGCCGGGTCTCTCCTCCCGCCAGCGCCGGCAGGGTCTCCGTGCGGGCAGGAAGGACAGGCAGCTGCAGCAGGGCTGTGCGAAACCCTTGGGGGACACCTCAGGGCTCACCAGGTTTTAGCGCAGCTCACGAGACACCCTGGGGTGACACGAGGACACTGGCAGGTGGCAGGTGCCTAGTCCCACAGAAGGACTGGTGACTCCTGGAGGTGACTGCACTGCTGCAGGAGTGACCCCGTAGGGAGCACGCTGTTCTGCTGGCACTGTCACTGCTCGGCACTGCTGGGGGTGGCTCAGGCCCATCGTCGCCCTCACACACAGCCGAGAACTCAAGAGGGCTCCTGCTCCCCCCTCTTGCACCCCTTGTTTTTCGCTGGTGCTTGATACAAGATTACCCAGGTGGGTCCCCACAGACGCAAGTGGGCTCTGTGCCCCCCCCGATTGTGGTTTCACCGCGGGCCACGGCTGGCGCGGAGCCGCGGCGTCGCCGGCGGCAGCGCAGGTGCCGGGAGGCGCGTGCGGTCGCTGGCGAGGCCGGGAGCCCCGGGCGGTGACCGCCTCCTTCCTGCGCTGGCGGCGAGGCGAGCGCGGGGCCACGGCTGCGGCAGCAGCGCCATGTGCCAGCGCCGCGGCGAGGGACCGGGCAGCTGGCAGCTGGCAGCGCCGCGGAGAGCCGGGGGCTGCTGCCACCCGCCGCGGGGGCTCCGAGCAGCCGGGAGGGGAGCGCCCCGAGGGAGGGGGCTTTGGGCTTTGCAGGTGCCAGACCACGAGGTGGGCCCGCGTACGCTCTTGCTAGGATGTGGGCTGCAGCCCGTGATGCCCATCAGGGTGGCTCTCGGCAGGCTGCAGCAGCACGTCGGAGGCCCGGGGGATGCAGGAGGGGCCCCCGCAGGGCAGGTGCTGTGGGGGGGCTGTCTCCCCCCGGGCACATCCGGGTGCCAGCCCCCTGTGGCGAGGTGTGTGACGGCAGAAGCGCAGGCGAGGCTCATATTTGGGCACGGAGCAGGTTATTGGAGGCCGCGGCCCCGCCGCCGGGAGATGAGGCGCCTGATAAAGGCTGCTGCCCCGGTGCTGCTGCGCGCAGGGGCTCGGGCGCTGGCGAGAGGTGGCCCGGCTGCGCGGGCTCGGGGCCGGTGGCCATGGGGCCGCTGCTGGCGCTGGGGCTGCTCGTGTGCGTGCGGCTGTGTGCGGGTGAGTGTCGGGCGGGCGGGAGCGGGGCCCGGGCGGCGGCGGGCCCGGCTCAGCAGCCTCCGTGCCGCAGGCTCCGGGCAGCTGCGTCTGGTGGGCGGCGGCGGGCGCTGTGCCGGGCGCGTGGAGGTGAAGCACGGCGGGGAGTGGGGCTCCGTGTGCGTCTTCGACTTCGACTGGGAAGCTCGCTGGGCCGCGGTGGTGTGCCGGCAGCTGGGCTGCGGCCGGGTGGCCAGGGCGTCCCTGCACGCCCCGTTCGGGCAGGGCAGCGGGCGGATCTGGCTGCAGCCCTTCTGCAATGGCACCGAGGATGAGCTGGAGCAGTGTCCGCACGTCGGATGGGGACGGCATTTCTGCGGCCACGAGTGGGATGTGGGGGTGACCTGCACAGGTGAGGGGACACGCTGGCCGTGCTGGGACAGCCTCCTCGTGCTGGAGCATCCCGGGCCGGTCTGAGCCGTGCCGGTGCCCTGTGCAGATGCCGTGGAGCTGAGGCTGGCGGGCGGCGGCAGTCCCTGTGCCGGGAGGGTGGAGGTGAAGCTGCAGGGACACTGGGGCTCGGTGGCAGACGACAGCTGGGACATGGAGGACGCCGAGGTGGTTTGCCAGCAGCTGGGCTGTGGCTCGGCTTCCCGGGCCTACTCCATCCTCAAGCCCTTTGGCGCAGGGGACGGGCTGGTCAGCCTGGCCCTGGTGGACTGCAGTGGAGACGAGGCCACGCTCTGGGACTGCAAGATCCGTGGCTGGGGACCCTATAACAGCAGCTTCCGTCACAGGGAGGCTGCCCTTGTCTGCCAAGGTAGGAGCTGGGCTGGAGGGGATTGAGGCTGTTCATGCACATCCCTTGACACCGGCCCTGCACTGCTCCCACAGGCTTTTCCCAGCTGGTCGGTGGCGATGGAGCCTGTGCCGGGCGGCTGGAGGTGCGTCAGGGCCGGGCCTGGGTCGGTGTCTGTGAGGATCAGGTGGACATGAAGGTGGCCCAGGTGGTGTGCAGGGAGCTGGGCTGCGGTGAGGTGATCGCCATCCCCGGCAGTGGCCGTTTTGGGGCAGCGTCGGGATCGCTCTGGGACGGGGGCTTCCAGTGCAATGGCACCGAGCCCCTCCTCAGTGCCTGTGCCCGGGGTCCGCCCCACGGCCAGGCCTGCACCGGCCCTGGCGGCGTCATCTGCTCCTGTAAGTGCCGGGGACACGGGGGACTGTTGGGGTCCCTGCGCCATCAGTGCTCTCACCGCCGCTCCTGTCGCAGCCTACACGGGCTTCCGCCTGGGGAACAGCAGCTCGGGATGCTCCGGGCGAGTGGAGGTGGCAGTGAGGGGCACGTGGGGCTCCGTGTGCGCCAGCGAGTGGGACCTGCCCGATGCGCACGTCCTGTGCCGCCAGCTGGGCTGCGGCCGCGCCTTCAGCGTGCCCCCGGGAGGCTCCTTCGGCAGCGGGGAGGGGCCGCTGCGGCCGGACGCCTTCGGCTGCAGCGGGAGCGAGCGGCACCCGGGCGAGTGCCCCGTGGCCGTGCTGGGCAAGCCCCCCTGTGCCCCTGGAAACGCCGCTGCCGTCAACTGCTCAGGTGGGTACGGTGTCTCTGCGAGGAGCCTTAAGGGATTTTGGGACCCTGCCAAAAGTGTAGAAGGTAGGAGGTGAGGCAGGCTCATTTTTTGATGAAGGGCTGAGTTGGGCCATTTTACAGGCACTGTTGAGTCCCTGCGGCTGATGGAGGGTGAGACCCGGTGCGAGGGGTTTCTGGAGTTGGCCACAAGTACTGGGCACTGGCGCCGTGTGCCCGGAGAGGTTTTGCTCCTACGGAATTTGAGCAATGTTTGCTGGAAGCTGGGCTGTGGAGGACTGGAGAAGAGTGGTGCTGTACTTGGTAATGTGTCCATGTGGGACCTCAACGAAGCACAGTGGGCCATCATGAAAGAAGTGATTGAGACCATCAAGGGGATGACAACTGATCTGACCACTAGGACCATACCTGAGGGTTATTTTTTCGGAAGTTACAAGAACATGAAGACTGCACCAGCTGGCATCTCTCATGGGTTGGATATTGTCTGCTCAGGTGGGTGTCCCGGGAAGGACCGGTGAAGTGCCGGTGCCCCAAGCAGCCAGCCCAGCCCATTCCTTCCGTGCCCACAGGCAGCCTGCAGGTGAGGCTGGTGGGGAGCTCTGGGCGCTGTGCCGGGCGTGTGGAGGTCTATTCCGGTGGCAGCTGGAGCTCGGTCTGCCAGGAAGGCTGGGAGCTGCAGGACGCGGCCGTTGTGTGCCGGGAGCTGGGCTGTGGCACGGCACTGGAAGTCCCGGGCTGGGCGCGGTTCGGTGCCGGCACGGGGCCGCTGTGGCCGTACGTGCCCGACTGCTCCGGCTCCGAGGAGTCTCTCTGGGAATGCGGGCGCACGGAACGGCGCGAGTGCGGGCGCGGCGGCGGGGCGGGGGCCGTCTGCTCAGGTCAGTCCCGGGCACCCCGGATCAGGGCCCGGCAGAGGCCCCGGGGGGTTCCTGGCCGTGCCGTGACCCCGCTGCCCCCCTTGCAGAGCAGCTCTCCGTGCGGCTGGCAGGAGGCCCTGGGAACTGCCGGGGGTTCCTGGAGCTGTTCTACAACGGCACCTGGGGCCGCGTGTGCGCCAGCGGCACCAGCCCCGGCACCGCCGCCGCCGTCTGCCGCCAGCTGGGCTGTGGGCACCGGGGCCGCCTCTCAGATGTCCCCGCCCTGGAGCCGACCGACGCCTGGCTGGCCTGGCTGGGCTGTGAGGACGGGGCCCGCTCGCTCTGGGGCTGCCCCTCGGCACCCTGGCGCCTGCAGAGCTGTGGCAGCGGCGGGCACGCCCATGTGGAGTGTGAGGGTGGCAGTGATGGCACCACCGAGGGACACACCAGCCCATATCCGGAGGGTGCCAGCAGCACAGGTAGCTGTGCCCATGCCTGCATCCCCCCAGCAGGCTGGCTGGGATCCCCCTGCCCTCACTGCCTGCCCGTGTCCCCACAGGTGTCCCCAGGAGAAGGGCCCCGGCGGTGGCCCTGGGGACTGTGCCTGTGCCCACGGTGCTGTGCGTGGTGCTGGGGACGCTGCTGTGCCTGTCCCTGGGTGCCCTGGCCCTGCTGCTGTGCCGTGCCCGTGCCCGGCGCCGAGGTGGGTCCTGCTGTGTGGGGCTGGGGACAGATCTGGTATGGGGCTCCAGGGGCCCCTGCCCTGCGGAACAGCTCAGAAGGTGGCCAGGGGTGATCCTGGTGCCACCCACAGTGCCCAGGGCCCCAGGTAAGTGCTGCAGCTCCTTCCAGGCCCTGGCCGAGCTGCAGATGCCACCTCCAACGCTGTCTACGAGGAGCTGGATTACAAAGCCATGCCCGAGTACCAGGAGGTGCCCACTCCCCCAGGTGGGTGCAGCCCTTGTGTCCCAGCTGTGCCCGGAGTGAAGGCTCTGCCTGGCAGCCCCAGGGCAGCTGCGGCTCCTGGTGGCCCAGCAGCGGCTCCTGGCCATGGGCTCTGGGTGTCCCTCGGTCCCAGAGCAGCCCTGCTCTGTAGTGTGAGGTTCTGTCACCGGCGGTGCCGCTCGAGGCCACCCCCAAGTCCCTGTTTATGCCCTGCAGGTTCCCTGTTGGAGGGATGGGTGAAGAAGCTGCCGTATTCCAGCGGGGACAGCGTGGAGGGGAGTGACACCGAGGCAGCCCCAGGTAGGGCCACAGGGCAGGAACCCAGCAGGGAGAGCTGGGGACAGGGGACACACCCGGCCTGGGGAGGGCTGAGGGCACAAATCCCCCCTTGTTAGTGTGCAGGGAAACATCGCCTTTCACTGTGGGACCCAAGGGCCTCCAGCACGTGCCCAGGGCATAGGCTGGAGAGGATGGCACAGGCTGAGGCCTGCCAGGGCCGCTGGTCACTGCCATGGAGCCCTCTGCTCTTCCCAGATCCCCCTGCCCGGCGCGAGCAAGGAACCCCGGATGGCTACGACGATGTCCTGGATGTGCCCCAGGAGCCCCCCGCTGCCAGCAGTGGGGACATCAGCGAGGGAGCGGCACGGCAGAGCTGGATCTGTGTCCTCCCCACAGGTGAGAGGGCTCCCAGCTGCCCTGTCCCCTCTGCAGAGTCTCTCCATGGCAGGCTGTGGCTGTGGGGGCGGGCAGGGCCCCAGCAGCAGATCCGTGGGTGCTGTGGTCAGAGCCCAGGTGGGGTCCATCAGGGGGACACGGAGCCGCCTGCCCCCTCGGGCACCTTTCTGTGCTGTCCCCAAGGTGGCATCTACGACCCTCCAAATCCCCCAGCAGCCACCGGGGACCCCTTGGAACAGCTCCCTGGACACATGGACTATGATGATGTCGGCAGCAGTGCCCTGGGGACGTTGCCATGAGGATGTCCTGGCCATGTCGCAGTCCTGGGGACACGTGTGTGGCAGTGTGGTGGGGCCCTGTCCCCAGGGAGGGCTGGCTCTGCCCACAGAGGGCAGCCCTCGCTGTCCAGCGCTGCAGGAAAACAGCTCCTGTGTAGGGATTTTCTGTGATTTCAGTGTGAATTTCCCTTTTTTCCTATTAAAACCTAATCTGGTCAGAGACTCACTCCCAGGCCTGCAACCGCATTCTGGGGCTGGCTCTTCCATGCCAGGTACACCAGCCCTTCCTTGGAGATGTGAGGCAGGAACTGGAACAACAGCCATATCCAGGAGATTGGTGGGCTGAAGAGGGAAGAGCCCAGGAGACTTCTGGCATTGCAAGGTCTTTATTTATCACTGCCACATGCCCACAACTGCTGCCAGCAACAGTGAGGGGAAAAGGGAGAGCTCAGGACCCGGATCCCCCCCTGGCAGATACAGCAGGATCTCCTCCCTGTGCCCCACGGGTGGGGCAGGCTCAGCCCCACTCAGAGCTGGGCAGGGAATGGCTCTGGATGTTGGAATCATCCTTTTCCTAAAGGATGGGAGGTCTCCTGAAGGAGGGCAGCGCCTTCCTGCCCCCCGGCAGCACCCCGCGCTGGCAGGGCAGCCGGGCCATGGCCCCTGCCTGCGGCACCTCGTGCTCCAGGAGGTTCCCGATGTTCAGGGCGGGCTGCAGGGTCCGGAGGGCGTCCAGCTCCTGCAGCAGGGCCTGGCTGAAGCCGTCCGTGCTCAGCCTGGCCGTGGAGGGGGCAGGAGAAGAGGAGAAGGTGTTGGAGCTCGTGGGGAGGGAGGCGCTGAGGCGGCCGCGGTGCCGCTGCGGCCCTGCCTGTCCCGCGGCCTCCGCTGCCCGGCTCGGGAATGCCGGGCACGGAAGGGGCCGTGGCAGGGCCCCGACTCACCCCAGGCTCCTCAGCGGGCAGGCGGCATGCCGGAGCTGCTGGCAGAGCTGCAGGACGCCCTGGGCTCGCAGCTCGTTGTCACTCAGGTCCAGGCAGGTGAGCCGGGGCCCCTGCAGCAGCCGCGCAGCCAGGGCTGGGCAGGAGGCGCCCGACAGCCGGCAGCTGCCCAGCCTGTGGGAGCGAGGGGAACAGGGAAGGAGCGCTCTGGCCTCTGCCGGCTGAGCTGCTCCAGCTGGGAAGGGCGGAGCAGTGGCTGAGCTCCTCGCAGCAGCAGGGGCTGGCGAGGCGGCAACAGCGCAGCCCAATGAGAACCCCCGGGAAAGACTCTCAGAGCCCGCCTTGGCCCCCAGAGGTGTCCATGGCCTCGGGGCCCGGGCAGCAGCCCCCCACTCTGAGAAAAACTTGCTCACTTTGAAAGTTTAAAAATGTTTCTTGAACCTTGACAAAAATACAACAAAAGGACTGCATAAAGTAAAATTCGCAGCACCAGGAACTGCCCTCGTGGATACCATGTGCCCCGTTTGTCTTCAAGCTGGATGCTCAGTCTTTTTTACCCCGGGGTTGCATCAGCCCGCCCTGGCCCTCCCGAAGTCTGTCAGTCAGCTCTTCTTTGCCATTTTTCGGTGGAGACTGCTTTCTTGTAACTTGGTTGGAGGGTCAGGTGTTGCCGTGCCGCACCCTCTAAGCAACAAGGTTTTCCATTGCCCACTGCCCCTTGCGAGGGGCACATGTGCACTCCTTACCTATCCTAGAGAACCCCGCCTGTCTGATGGCAGCAATAGAGAGAGGGGGGAGAAGGGAACAATGGGGAGACCAGAGGCTATCTCAGCTATAACAACATAACTCTACATCACTAGGGCTTTTCTTAATATCCACACAATAGTCCAGTAGTCATCCCTCAACTGCGAGAGGCAATCATTTCGTTATCCATCTATAACACCGCCCACGCAGTGCCCTCCGGTTCGGGTGCCCTCCGCCACCTGCCCCGGTGTGGGCTCCGTGCAGGGCGCGCGTCTCTGAGCGGAGCAGCCCCGGACAGTGCCCGGTGCCGCATCGCCGGCAGCGCGGGGGATGGGGCAGGGCAGCTCCTCCCGCCGCCGCCCAGCGAGGCACCGGCACGTTGTGCCCGTGAGGAACGGCTGCGGTGCCGCTGGATGGGCTGCAGCTGCAGCTGCTGCGTTTGCTCCGCGGGGGAGCCCGGGACGAGAGTCCGGGAAGTGCCGATCCGGGGCCAGGAAAGCGTGGTCCCGGCCAGGTGAGGGACACTGAGAGTGACAGCGGGATTCGGGAGCAGGAGGAAGAGAGACTTTAGAGTGCAGTTGTACTTGCAATGTGAGAGGCTCAAAGCCCTGTTCATTGCCTGGGACAATCCTGGGACTCAGCAGCTGGGGCTGTTTCTGCTTTCCTGCGGCAGCAGCACTCGGATTTAAAGAGGGAGACACCTGCGGATGTGCCAGGGGAAATCTGGAGTGGAAACGTGAGGTGTGGCTGTGGGTGTTTGGGGAACCTCCGGAGCCAGCGGGGGTCAGTGGAGGCCGAGCAGAGAAGGGGCGTGGGTGCCCGCAGTGCAAGTGGATGCCTGCGTTGGGAATGCGCTGCCAGAGAGTGCGGTGAAGGGCGAGAGCGGGAAGTTTCCTGCAGGGCGCGGCAGGCGAGCTGCAGGGCCCGGAGCGGCGGGGCGGGGGTGGCGGAGCCGCGGCGTCGCCGGCGGCAGCGCAGGTGCCGGGAGGCGCGTGCGGTCGCTGGCGAGGCCGGGAGCCCCGGGCGGTGACCGCCTCCTTCCTGCGCTGGCGGCGAGGCGAGCGCGGGGCCACGGCTGCGGCAGCAGCGCCATGTGCCAGCGCCGCGGCGAGGGACCGGGCAGCTGGCAGCTGGCAGCGCCGCGGAGAGCCGGGGGCTGCTGCCACCCGCCGCGGGGGCTCCGAGCAGCCGGGAGGGGAGCGCCCCGAGGGAGGGGGCTTTGGGCTTTGCAGGTGCCAGACCACGAGGTGGGCCCGCGTACGCTCTTGCTAGGATGTGGGCTGCAGCCCTTGATGCCCATCAGGGTGGCTCTCGGCAGGCTGCAGCAGCACGTCGGAGGCCCGGGGGATGCAGGAGGGGCCCCCGCAGGGCAGGTGCTGTGGGGGGGCTGTCTCCCCCCGGGCACATCCGGGTGCCAGCCCCCTGTGGCGAGGTGTGTGACGGCAGAAGCGCAGGCGAGGCTCATATTTGGGCACGGAGCAGGTTATTGGAGGCCGCGGCCCCGCCGCCGGGAGATGAGGCGCCTGATAAAGGCTGCTGCCCCGGTGCTGCTGCGCGCAGGGGCTCGGGCGCTGGCGAGAGGTGGCCCGGCTGCGCGGGCTCGGGGCCGGTGGCCATGGGGCCGCTGCTGGCGCTGGGGCTGCTCGTGTGCGTGCGGCTGTGTGCGGGTGAGTGTCGGGCGGGCGGGAGCGGGGCCCGGGCGGCGGCGGGCCCGGCTCAGCAGCCTCCGTGCCGCAGGCTCCGGGCAGCTGCGTCTGGTGGGCGGCGGCGGGCGCTGTGCCGGGCGCGTGGAGGTGAAGCACGGCGGGGAGTGGGGCTCCGTGTGCGTCTTCGACTTCGACTGGGAAGCTCGCTGGGCCGCGGTGGTGTGCCGGCAGCTGGGCTGCGGCCGGGTGGCCAGGGCGTCCCTGCACGCCCCGTTCGGGCAGGGCAGCGGGCGGATCTGGCTGCAGCCCTTCTGCAATGGCACCGAGGATGAGCTGGAGCAGTGTCCGCACGTCGGATGGGGACGGCATTTCTGCGGCCACGAGTGGGATGTGGGGGTGACCTGCACAGGTGAGGGGACACGCTGGCCGTGCTGGGACAGCCTCCTCGTGCTGGAGCATCCCGGGCCGGTCTGAGCCGTGCCGGTGCCCTTTGCAGATGCCGTGGAGCTGAGGCTGGCGGGCGGCGGCAGTCCCTGTGCCGGGAGGGTGGAGGTGAAGCTGCAGGGACACTGGGGCTCGGTGGCAGACGACAGCTGGGACATGGAGGACGCCGAGGTGGTTTGCCAGCAGCTGGGCTGTGGCTCGGCTTCCCGGGCCTACTCCATCCTCAAGCCCTTTGGCGCAGGGGACGGGCTGGTCAGCCTGGCCCTGGTGGACTGCAGTGGAGACGAGGCCACGCTCTGGGACTGCAAGATCCGTGGCTGGGGACCCTATAACAGCAGCTTCCGTCACAGGGAGGCTGCCCTTGTCTGCCAAGGTAGGAGCTGGGCTGGAGGGGATTGAGGCTGTTCATGCACATCCCTTGACACCGGCCCTGCACTGCTCCCACAGGCTTTTCCCAGCTGGTCGGTGGCGATGGAGCCTGTGCCGGGCGGCTGGAGGTGCGTCAGGGCCGGGCCTGGGTCGGTGTCTGTGAGGATCAGGTGGACATGAAGGTGGCCCAGGTGGTGTGCAGGGAGCTGGGCTGCGGTGAGGTGATCGCCATCCCCGGCAGTGGCCGTTTTGGGGCAGCGTCAGGATCGCTCTGGGACGGGGGCTTCCAGTGCAATGGCACCGAGCCCCTCCTCAGTGCCTGTGCCCGGGGTCCGCCCCACGGCCAGGCCTGCACCGGCCCTGGCGGCGTCATCTGCTCCTGTAAGTGCCGGGGACACGGGGGACTGTTGGGGTCCCTGCGCCATCAGTGCTCTCACTGCCGCTCCTGTCGCAGCCTACACGGGCTTCCGCCTGGGGAACAGCAGCTCGGGATGCTCCGGGAGAGTGGAGGTGGCAGTGAGGGGCACGTGGGGCTCCGTGTGCGCCAGCGAGTGGGACCTGCCCGATGCGCACGTCCTGTGCCGCCAGCTGGGCTGCGGCCGCGCCTTCAGCGTGCCCCCGGGAGGCTCCTTCGGCAGCGGGGAGGGGCCGCTGCGGCCGGACGCCTTCGGCTGCAGCGGGAGCGAGCGGCACCCGGGCGAGTGCCCCGTGGCCGTGCTGGGCAAGCCCCCCTGTGCCCCTGGAAACGCCGCTGCCGTCAACTGCTCAGGTGGGTACAGCACCTGTGTGAGGAGCCCTAAGGGCTTTTGGGACCCTGCCAAGAATTTTTAGCAGATGATGCAGGGATGTTTTGGACTGAAGTGCGGTCTGAGCCAGGTGCTAGAGCCCCATGGCTCTTCTGGTGAAATTGCAGGTGTTGGCTTCCTGCCGTCCCTGCGGCTGGTGGATGGTCAGAGCTTTTGTGATGGGTGGCTGGAGGAGACCATAACCAGCCCAGCCTGGCGCCGTGTGTCTCTGGAGCAGTGGAACTCATGGGATGTCTACACAGTATGTGCCGTGCTGGGCTGTGGTCTTCCCAAGGGTGTTTACACTGCTTTGGGTACAGCTCCTGCATTGAGCAGCAGCCCCAGCGAGGTGGACATCATGACTGAAGAGATGGACAGCATTTCGGGCATGGGCTCTGCAGTGCCCAGCAGCCCTGAGGAGACGGATGACCAGCTGGAGGAGATGGGCAATGTCTCAGGGATGGGCTCTGCACCAAATAGCAGCCTTGAGGAGATGGTCATAGTCTGCTCAGGTGGGTGTCCCGGGAAGGACCGGTGAAGTGCCGGTGCCCCAAGCAGCCAGCCCAGCCCATTCCTTCCGTGCCCACAGGCAGCCTGCAGGTGAGGCTGGTGGGGAGCTCTGGGCGCTGTGCCGGGCGTGTGGAGGTCTATTCCGGTGGCAGCTGGAGCTCGGTCTGCCAGGAAGGCTGGGAGCTGCAGGACGCGGCCGTTGTGTGCCGGGAGCTGGGCTGTGGCACGGCACTGGAAGTCCCGAGCTGGGCGCGGTTCGGTGCCGGCACGGGGCCGCTGTGGCCGTACGTGCCCGACTGCTCCGGCTCCGAGGAGTCTCTCTGGGAATGCGGGCGCACGGAACGGCGCGAGTGCGGGCGCGGCGGCGGGGCGGGGGCCGTCTGCTCAGGTCAGTCCCGGGCACCCCGGATCAGGGCCCGGCAGAGGCCCCGGGGGGTTCCTGGCCGTGCCGTGACCCCGCTGCCCCCCTTGCAGAGCAGCTCTCCGTGCGGCTGGCAGGAGGCCCTGGGAACTGCCGGGGGTTCCTGGAGCTGTTCTACAACGGCACCTGGGGCCGCGTGTGCGCCAGCGGCACCAGCCCCGGCACCGCCGCCGCCGTCTGCCGCCAGCTGGGCTGTGGGCACCGGGGCCGCCTCTCAGATGTCCCCGCCCTGGAGCCGACCGACGCCTGGCTGGCCTGGCTGGGCTGTGAGGACGGGGCCCGCTCGCTCTGGGGCTGCCCCTCGGCACCCTGGCGCCTGCAGAGCTGTGGCAGCGGCGGGCACGCCCATGTGGAGTGTGAGGGTGTGAGGGTGGCAGTGATGGCACCACCGAGGGACACACCAGCCCATATCCGGAGGGTGCCAGCAGCACAGGTAGCTGTGCCCATGCCTGCATCCCCCCAGCAGGCTGGCTGGGATCCCCCTGCCCTCACTGCCTGCCCGTGTCCCCACAGGTGTCCCCAGGAGAAGGGCCCCGGCGGTGGCCGTGGGGACTGTGCCTGTGCCCACGGTGCTGTGCGTGGTGCTGGGGACGCTGCTGTGCCTGTCCCTGGGTGCCCTGGCCCTGCTGCTGTGCCGTGCCCGTGCCCGGCGCCGAGGTGGGTCCCGCTGTGTGGGGCTGGGGACAGATCCGGTTTGGGGCTCCAGGGGCCCCGCCCTGCGGAACAGCTCAGAAGGTGGCCAGGGTGGGGTGATCCTGGTGCCACCCACAGTGCCCAGGGCCCCAGGTAAGTGCTGCAGCTCCTTCCAGGCCCTGGCCGAGCTGCAGATGCCGTCTCCAACGCTGTCTACGAGGAGCTGGATTACAAAGCCATGCCCGAGTACCAGGAGGTGCCCACTCCCCCAGGTGGGTGCAGCCCTTGTGTCCCAGCTGTGCCCGGAGTGAAGGCTCTGCCTGGCAGCCCCAGGGCAGCTGCGGCTCCTGGTGGCCCAGCAGCGGCTCCTGGCCATGGGCTCTGGGTGTCCCTCGGTCCCAGAGCAGCCCTGCTCTGTAGTGTGAGGTTCTGTCACCGGCGGTGCCGCTCGAGGCCACCCCCAAGTCCCTGTTTATGCCCTGCAGGTTCCCTGTTGGAGGGATGGGTGAAGAAGCTGCCGTATTCCAGCGGGGACAGCGTGGAGGGGAGTGACACCGAGGCAGCCCCAGGTAGGGCCACAGGGCAGGAACCCAGCAGGGAGAGCTGGGGACAGGGGACACACCCGGCCTGGGGAGGGCTGAGGGCACAAATCCCCCCTTGTTAGTGTGCAGGGAAACATCGCCTTTCACTGTGGGACCCAAGGGCCTCCAGCACGTGCCCAGGGCATAGGCTGGAGAGGATGGCACAGGCTGAGGCCTGCCAGGGCCGCTGGTCACTGCCATGGAGCCCTCTGCTCTTCCCAGATCCCCCTGCCCGGCGCGAGCAAGGAACCCCGGATGGCTACGACGATGTCCTGGATGTGCCCCAGGAGCCCCCCGCTGCCAGCAGTGGGGACATCAGCGAGGGAGCGGCACGGCAGAGCTGGATCTGTGTCCTCCCCACAGGTGAGAGGGCTCCCAGCTGCCCTGTCCCCTCTGCAGAGTCTCTCCATGGCAGGCTGTGGCTGTGGGGGCGGGCAGGGCCCCAGCAGCAGATCCGTGGGTGCTGTGGTCAGAGCCCAGGTGGGGTCCATCAGGGGGACACGGAGCCGCCTGCCCCCTCGGGCACCTATCTGTGCTGTCCCCAAGGTGGCATCTACGACCCTCCAAATCCCCCAGCAGCCACCGGGGACCCCTTGGAACAGCTCCCTGGACACATGGACTATGATGATGTCGGCAGCAGTGCCCTGGGGACGTTGCCATGAGGATGTCCTGGCCATGTCGCAGTCCTGGGGACACGTGTGTGGCAGTGTGGTGGGGCCCTGTCCCCAGGGAGGGCTGGCTCTGCCCACAGAGGGCAGCCCTCGCTGTCCAGCGCTGCAGGAAAACAGCTCCTGTGTAGGGATTTTCTGTGATTTCAGTGTGAATTTCCCTTTTTTCCTATTAAAACCTAATCTGGTCAGAGACTCACTCCCAGGCCTGCAACCGCATTCTGGGGCTGGCTCTTCCATGCCAGGTACACCAGCCCTTCCTTGGAGATGTGAGGCAGGAACTGGAACAACAGCCACATCCCTGGGATTGGTGGGCTGAAGAGGGAAGAGCCCAGGAGACTTCTGGCATTGCAAGGTCTTTATTTATCACTGCCACATGCCCACAACTGCTGCCAGCAACAGTGAGGGGAAAAGGGAGAGCTCAGGACCCGGATCCCCCCCTGGCAGATACAGCAGGATCTCCTCCCTGTGCCCCACGGGTGGGGCAGGCTCAGCCCCACTCAGAGCTGGGCAGGGAATGGCTCTGGATGTTGGAATCATCCTTTTCCTAAAGGATGGGAGGTCTCCTGAAGGAGGGCAGCGCCTTCCTGCCCCCCGGCAGCACCCCGCGCTGGCAGGGCAGCCGGGCCATGGCCCCTGCCTGCGGCACCTCGTGCTCCAGGAGGTTCCCGATGTTCAGGGCGGGCTGCAGGGTCCGGAGGGCGTCCAGCTCCTGCAGCAGGGCCTGGCTGAAGCCGTCCGTGCTCAGCCTGGCCGTGGAGGGGGCAGGAGAAGAGGAGAAGGTGTTGGAGCTCGTGGGGAGGGAGGCGCTGAGGCGGCCGCGGTGCCGCTGCGGCCCTGCCTGTCCCGCGGCCTCCGCTGCCCGGCTCGGGAATGCCGGGCACGGAAGGGGCCGTGGCAGGGCCCCGACTCACCCCAGGCTCCTCAGCGGGCAGGCGGCATGCCGGAGCTGCTGGCAGAGCTGCAGGACGCCCTGGGCTCGCAGCTCGTTGTCACTCAGGTCCAGGCAGGTGAGCCGGGGCCCCTGCAGCAGCCGCGCAGCCAGGGCTGGGCAGGAGGCGCCCGACAGCCGGCAGCTGCCCAGCCTGTGGGAGCGAGGGGAACAGGGAAGGAGCGCTCTGGCCTCTGCCGGCTGAGCTGCTCCAGCAGAAAGGAAAGGAGAAAGCTCTATGTAAAAAGGAGGGAGCTCTTGCCCATCCTGCAGCCCCTTTACCGCAGTGTCTGTAGCGGGCAGGCACAGTGCTGCAGCCCCTCACACAGCAGCTCCACGCCGGCATCTCGCAGGTCCTCACTGAAGGACAAATCTAGCTCCTCCAGGCAGGTGTTGGTGCTCAGCGCAGAGGCAAGGTCCTCACAGCTGGCACTGGTGATGCGGGAATACCGCAGCCTGATGGGAAACCCCAGAAAAATCCTCAGAGCCTCCTGAGTGCCCTTACTGCCATCCCACCACGGTGGCGGTCCCCACCCTGGTGCCATAACCTTGACACTCCTTGGCCTGGAAGTGTGGGACAGAGGCATGATGCCATCCCGGGGGGACCCTTTGGAGTGTCTCCCGAGCTCTCAGGTCTGAGATGCCTTAGGGATTCTGGGGGTGCTCACCGCAGGATGCGCAGGCGGCAGCCCGGATTCCGCAGCCCCTCACAGAGGAGGCGCACGCCGCTGTCACGCAGCGAGCTGTCAGCCAGCTCCAGCTGGGCCAGGCCAGGGTGCTCCGCCAGCAGCGCTGCCAGCTCTGCACAGCAGCTCTCGGACAGCCGGCACCACCGCAGCCTGCGGGACAGCACGGAGAACAGGGGCTCAGCACACCTCACCTATCCTGGCTGCTCACCTGCCCAGCAAACCCACGGGTAAGGAGGGCCTGGCTTCCCTCTGGCTGCTTGCCATTGTCCCCAGGGAGCAGTGGGGCAGCCCCAACCCACTCGCCCACTGCACTGTGGTTCGGGTGCCCCCACCCACACCCCGGCTCCCAGCCCTGGTGTGGGCTCCACGCGCGTCTCTCACCGGAGCACCTGCAGGGCACTGTCCCGGTGCCGCAGAGCCCGGCAGAGCAGGTGGATGGGGCAGGGCAGCTCCTCCCGCCGCCGCACGACGAGAGCACCGGGATGTCCTCTGGCTCCCGAGGCTCCAGAGCTGCAGGGAACAGAGCCGTGGGGCACACGCAGCCCTCAGCGGTGCTGGCAGCTCCCGGTTCTGACACCAGCATACAACCCCCCCATCCCGAGCAGAGCCTCCAGCTTCTCCGGAGGGATCTTTATGGCTTTGGAGGAGTGAAGGACCTCGAACATTGCTGTTGGAGCCACCCAGGGAGATGTAAGGGGAGTCACAGGGTGCATTTAACATTCCAGCACCAGGGATCTCCCTTTTTGAGGGAGAAGGAGGACGATGGAAAGCCAGAGTGACGGCTGGGCACAGGTGGGCCTGGCTAGGTCGACCCAAGAACTCCATCACCATCGATCCCACAGTAGGCAGCGGATCGAGGAGCCCACATGTTCCTTGTTCTCCCCAAGAATAAGTAAATCCTCTGCTGAGGAATCAAACACCCAGGGAAAGGCCAAATTGGTATTCAGGAGGGAGAAGCTGAATCATCCTTTGGGACAGAGAAAGAGAAATCTTTGCAGTTTTGGGTCATTAAAGCAAGGAGGAGCAGGACTTACCAAGGCACTAACACATCCAGCTCTGCCTCAGGATCCTGCCAGTGGAAGGAGCATCCCTGGAGGGTGACGGAGCCCAGCCCAGCCCAGTGCTGGATGCAGAAGGAAAGAGCCATCTGGTCATACAGGGTCAGCCTGGTGTCCTGCAAGTCCAGGTCAGTGAAATGACCCAGTGCATTTTGTGCAAAGCTCTTCTCATTCATCTCAAACAAGAAGTGGAAAGTGTCCATCTCCGAAACCTTCAGTGCTTGGCCAGGGTGGGAGAGGCCTCTGTGCCTCCCCTGAAGCCACTCCAGCAGCTCTTCCCTGACTCGTGGTGAAATTCTGCACCCAATGGTTTTGTCCATGTACTCTATGGATTTCTGGCTGACCAGACCAAAGAGGAATCGCACTGTTATGTTCAAATCCTTTCTGGACTTGTTGTAACTTTCTAATAATTTATTTACATCCTTCTCAAGCTTCCCCAAGCTGCTGATCGTTTCCCCATCATCCTCCAGGACGTAAAACATTGCTGCAAAAAACTCCTGGAGGTGCAGGTGGGTGAAAGCATAGACACTCTCATGGTCTTCTCCTTTCCTTGGGATCCTTTCATTGAGGAAGTAGGGGAGAAGACCTGGCTGGTCCAAGCCACAGTCCTTGATTTCCTTCTCCTCAAAGAGGACCTTGTGCTTCCAGATACCCTCGGCAGCCAAGGAGCAAAGCTGGAGTAGGAACTGCTGGAGGACCTGTGGGTTGTCCCTGTCCCTGAGCTTCAGTAACTGGGAGAAGTAGAACATCATCATCCCTGTGGTGGTTTTGGAGCACTCAAGGAGGTTTTTCTTCCCACAAAGCTCTTGTTCAAGGATGGTACAGATGGTCCAGCTCATGATAGGGATGACACACAAGCTGTAGAGGATCTCGTTGCCTCTGACAAACCTGAAGGCCATGTCTGCTTTGTTTGGGTTCTCAAAATACTTGTGGAAATACTCCTTCCTCCTGGCTGCTGAAAATCCCAGTATCTCCATGTAACTCTCACCCTTCAGGCACTGCCTCAGGCTTCCAAGAGCTGTTGGCCTCATGGTGATGAGCAAAGAGGCTTTGGGGAGCAAAGTCTTCTTCAACAAGCTCATCAGGGTGAGCTCCAGCGGCTTCACCTCCCTGGGGTCAGAGCTCAGCTCAGCTTCGGGCTGAACCAAGGAAAACCCCAGGGCCTCGAAGCCATCAAAAATGAACAGGATCTTCTTCTGGTCATCCAGGATCTTCCCAGCCGGCACTCGCAGGCCAGGACAGCACCGTGAAATCAGGTCTGCCACGCTGGCTTCCATGGGAAGGACGATGGCTTTGCAGTCAATGCAGAAGACAAAGTCAAACTGCGTGTGGAGTGCTCCTTCTCCCCACTCCACCATCACCTTCCTGACCATCGTTGTCTTCCCCATCCCCGGGGCCCCCACCAGCACCACGACCTGCGGGGTTTGCCCATCTCCACTGGGTTCAAACAGCATGGGGGTGGTGGTGGCCGCTGCTCCATTGCTGGTGCTGGCACATCCCTGGCTGGTTCCCACAGCTCCATCCTTGGCTCCATGCTTGCTCCGAGGCTCCCTGGTGATGGTCAGGGTGGTGAAGCGGCTGTGGAAGGACGGGCTCTCCCTGGGACAGGCGCCCAGCTCCCT